ATGCATGAATGTATTTTTAAACATTTCATTGTCATATATATATATGTGTGTGTTTTTGGGTGTCCACGCTCGCATGTGTTTGTGTGTGTGTGTTAAATAATAGTAAAATAAAACGCTTACACTACCATAAGATCTGAATTGACCTCTAACCCCTGATGAAATCTCAATCATTGCAATCACGGTTGCGTAAGTGATAGAGCTTTCTATTTTATCACATTTTGTAACATTTAAAAGCTCTGTACGCTCGATTTTTTGAATTGTGTATCGAGCACTTTTTCCTGATCTCAATTAACTCTGACCAACAACTGCTTAACCGTGATAGATAGATAGATAGATAGATAGATAGATAGATAGATAGATAGATAGATAAGGGATTAAAATAGATAGATAGATAGATAGATAGATAGATAGATAGATAGATAGATAGATAGATAGATAGATCAAACTAGCATAGATAGATCAAACTAGCATAGATAGATAAATGAAACTAGCATAAATAACACTGGCATAGATAGATAAAACTAGCACAGACAGATAGATAGATAGATAGATAGATAGATAGATAGATAGATAGAAAATGAATACAGTGTTATAGATAGATAGATAGATAGATAGATAGATAGATAGATAGATAGATAGATAATGAACAGGGTGAGATAGATAGATAGATAGATAGATAGATAGATAGATAGATAGATAGATAGATAGATAGATAGATAGATCGGGGAGTCCACATTATTCCCGGGCCTTTTGAACAGGAGTAGAGATTCCTCCCTTGTTTCCTGCTTTGAATAGTATTCATTCATTCCGGTCTTTTTCATTCTCTTTTGCTCCCAGCAGCCCGTTGCATCTTAGTGACATTATCGTCTTTCATGGGGTGAATTGATTAAAATTCATTATAGATGGATACATAGATACATACATACATAAGAACATTCTAGTAGATATATATATATATATATATATATATATATATATATATATATATAGATAGATAGATAGATAGATAGATAGATAGACAGATAATGAATACAGTGTGATAGATTGATAGATAGATATATAATGAACAGAGATAGATAGATAGATAGATAGATAGATAGATAGATAGATAGATAGATAGATAGATAGATAGATAGAAGTACTACAAACTCAGTGTGATATGATAGATATGGCGTCCGGAAGAGTGTATTGTGCCGTGTTGTAAATGAATATTCACATCTTCGGAAAGAAAATTATAATTTCATCCAATTAGACGTTGCTATATTTTTAAGTAATGGAAATAAAATTTGGCCACAGAAGTCATCGTCATTCTTTCTTTTGCATATATGCTTCTTAATTTAATTAAAAGGTCCTAGAACTGAATCGTTTGGAATATGTTCGGATATAAACTCCAAAATAATAAAAGAATTTCAATGCATAAAGCTCAGAATATAATGATCGGTTTTTCGGTGAATTCATTTAATATTGAATCCTCTATTAACGCCAGACCGTCTCCAGGGTACACTATTGTGAATATGCGGATCGCAGTGTTTGCTTTTATCAACATTACGGTGATCGCAAGGCTACGAAGATGAGGAAGCGCCTGTGAGTATTGAACTAACTTTCGTCGTATTCTATGGGAGCAGTTTGTTCATTAATATTCCACGACAACGTTCCCACTTACATTATTAAATGCTACGCTCGTTCAAGAAGAAAATGATCTCTCTATAGATTAAATGCTATGCCGGTTCAGGTAGATGACGATTATAGCTTTCCATAGATTGAATTCAATTCCCGTTCAGGAAGAAGACAATTAACGATATCCATAAATTAAATGCTATTCTGCTTCAGGTAGAAGACGATTATAGCTTTCCGTAGATTAAATGAAATTCCCGATCAGAAAGATGACAATTAGAAAAATCCATAGATTAAATACTATTCCTATTCAGGAAGAAGATGAATATAGCTAAATCCAATGCACGTTCAGGAAGATTATAGCTCTAATTAGATTAAATGCTATTGCCGTTCAGGTAGAAGACGATTATAACTCTCCATGGATTAAATATTATTCCAGTTAAGGAAGAAGCCGATTATAGATCTCCATAGATTGTGCTACTACTATTCAGAAAGAAGACGATTATACATCTCCATAGATTAAATGCTATTCGCGTTCTGGAAGAATGCGATTATACCTCGTCATAGATTAAATGTTAATCCAGTTCAAGAATTAGATGATTATAGCGCTCCAAAGAATATATTCTATTCTCGTTAATGAAGAAGACGATTATAGCTTTCCATACATTTAATGTTACTCGAGTTAATGATTATTAATGACTATATGCTCTTCAGAAGAAGACGGTTATACGTATCCATAGACTAAATGCTATTCCCGTTCAAGAAGTAGACCATTATATTCCCGTTCAGGAAGCCTATAACTCTCAATAGATTAAATGCTATTCCCGTTCAGGAAGAAAACGATTATACCATTCTTTATATTAAATGCTATTCCTGTTCATGAAGAAAACTATCATAGCCCTCATTAGAGTAAATGCTATTCCTGTTTAAGTAGAAGACGATTATAGATCTCCATAGATCAAATACTATTCCCGTACAGGAAGAAGACGGTTATAACTCTGCATAGATTAAATGCTATTTCCGATCATATAGAAAACGATTGTAGCTCTCTATAGATTAAATGATATCCCCGTTCAGCAAGAAAACTATTTTAGCTCTCCATAGATTAAATGCTATTCCGTTTAGTAAGCAGATGATTATACCTTTCCATAGATTATGTGCTTATCCGATTCAGTAAGAAGACGTTTGTATCTCTCCATAGATAAGATGTTATTCCAGTTAAGGAGGAAGCCGATTATAGCTCTCTATAGATTAAATTCTATTCCCGTTCTGGAAGGCGATTATACCTTTCCATAAACCCCGTTTCTTTGTTATCCTTTAATTCTCATGACTTCTTCGAAAATACAATTCAGTTCTCTCCCTGTCCTTCTATTTTGAATCCTGGGTGCCATCCAAGGGTCGAGGGCCCATTCTTCCTAGTTATTTAACCAATAACTTGGAGATTGAAAGATATGTTTTTGCCTTTCTTTCTTTTCTATGCACAGCTGCGAGAAAGAGAAAACGAAACCAAATGGTAATTTAAATTTGTTTCTTCGATTCCAGTTTCCGCGCAGCTGACAGTGCCACTAACCGGGCCTCCTATATTACACTAATATGCCAAAAATCAACATTTAATCTGCGATGCTCGAACACTCTAGTCTGTAAACCAAGCTATTACTACACAATCAGGTAATCTCATGACCATATTTGGGCATACCCATATTAGTTTCCTGATTGGTTACATAATATCCGTGCTTCTTGATGGCAGTGAATACTGGACAATCTCCTAGCGGATGAAGACGAGACTTGACGCAATAAAAATGCGGTTCTACAAAAGAATGCTGAGAATATCATGAACCGAACCTATGAGCAATGACGAAGTTCTGAAGAAGTTGGAAATAAATAGAACACTTATACTTAATATCAGAGACAGTTGACATTTCTTGAGCATATAATGAGGGAAGTGGGATTGTAAAATTTGATACTCACATGACTGATGAGAACACAAGAAGGACAGAGGAAAACAACGAATAACCTCTGTCTGATTGTCTGGGATAAGGAATTATTACTTACACTATTTATATTCGGACTATTGTCTTCGTCTTTGTTGCTGTTTTGATAACTTTTCGACCGTTGTGCTCTCCGGCCTTCCTCAGATATATATTTATTTGGGTAACTGTTATGGTTCAAGTTCCTTGTACCACGGTGATGGTCCAAGTTCCTTGTACCACGGTGATGGTCCAAGTTCCTTGTACCACGGTGATGGTCCAAGTTCCTTGTACCACGGTGATGGTCCAAGGTTAGAACCATTGAGAGAATAACACGAACACAGGTATGGAATACAAAGATATATTACAACAGAAATATAATACAAAAAAGTAGAAGTATTAGTAATGATTTGTTTAGAGTGAACTATGTTGTCTCGACAAGTATCACTATTCCAATGTCCTTACAATATGTTCTCAATTATCTCTCCTCGTCTTACAATCTCCCATACCTCTTGAGAGGTGCAGTATTATAATGTCAGGAATAGTCCATTATTAGTATGGGTAAGTTCCCATAACAGTAACCTACAGGGAATACTGAACTGAACCCTTCCCTTAATCTACAGGGTAGACAATGTAATAGTGGATTAAGCATTGGCTCGTGTATTTGGTGACGAAGTGATTTTAAGTTCAATCCCTGCGCTGGGCAATGTGTACTTGAACTCAAGAAAAACGGACGAGCAATAATTGAACAGTATTAGAATATAAGAACTAAACGGTATCCTTAAATTTGTGCAGTGGAACGAGAACAGCTTACAACGGCCGAAACGTTAGGATAATAACAACAAAGATGAGGACAACAGTCCGAATATAAACAATGTAATTAACGCATAAATTACCTACCGAATTTGTGTAAATGGATGATAGAGCAGGGTTTAGGAGAAACGATAAAAGGAAAGCAAATTATTAAGAGCCATAAGGGACAGGAAGTACTAGAGATCCATGATTGTCAATGTCCTGAAGGGACACGGCATGTAGAAGAAGTTTATTACGTCAGGAAATTATATTTTTGTAAAAAAAATACAGTTGCTGAGGAAGCCATTTTGTTATTGTTTTATCTATTTTTGTCGAAAACATCTATGTCTTTTTCTTTGTAGCCGTTTGATCAATTGTAAAATTTACCATTGTCTGTCTGTACTGAAACACAGTCAGCAAGAAAGTAATAAATTATCTTTTTCGCTCCGTCTCGTAATTTTTCCGTTTTTTTTTTTTTCTGACGGACTATAGCCTAATTTTATTGATTGGGAAAATGCTTGCTAAGAACAGACGATATTCAGCTGGCAAACAAGTACATACGTAAGACGAAAAGTAATTACAATGATAAGTAAGCATTACGGGCAGGGGTTTTATTGCTATACAATCATGAACATAAACATTGGCGCGGTTTCGTTTCTTTCTTTATTCAGCGAGTTTTCCACTTCGGCGTCACTTGCGTGACGTTCGGCATCTTCATTGTATTTGTTCGTACCCAGCGGAGTACTCAAATGACATACGCACACTTACCCTATATAAGCTTGCTAATCAAACAACGACAAATATGCGATCGATTCTTGCATACTATTAGTCTAACAGCGGCCGAAGTAATACTATAATGAAGACAGAAAAAAATCAACTTATTCTATAGTTTTAGTTGTGAAGGCAAAACGGTAGATTAAGTTTGACAAATAGTTAATTCTGTAGTTGTTTTAAATACATATTACTTGAGCTGGTTACATGTATTTCTTTCAGTTGATAAGAAGTAAATTGTTGACTTGATCGTTTCAAAATGGAGAACATACCTAGAGCAATCAATTCTTAAAACGGAGATCAACTAATCAACACACTCGTAATAAATTGACAGGATAATCATCAGAAACTAATACATTCTTGTTTTTCCATGTAGAACATGGAACTAAGTGTAACATACGATTTGGCATTGTAAAAATATTTAACTCTCTTCACAAATAAAACGGGATGGAAATGAAGAAAGCAGATAAAGTGTAAATCTAATTCCAGAAATTGTTTTTTTTTTTTTTTGTTTTTTTTTTTTTGAGTCCACTTTCTTCTTCTGAAAACAGTCTGAATACGACAGGAAATAAACGAGACTTTGACAGATTTCTTAATAAAACCTATTACTACACCGACAGACTGTAACACCGACTGCCTCCTGACTATCACGCCGACTGAATACTTAATACATTGTCCTTTGTATACACCTGGTGCACGGATGTAGTAGTAGACACAAAATACTTGCGAATACTTAACAGAAAATGTTCTACTACACGTTCAAGAGTGTTACTTGTAAAATATAAAACCTCTAATAACTTAACTGTACATATTCAAAAGCTGAAATTTTCTATATTAATAATTTCATATAATCTCCACACGTCGAATATATTTTATCATACTCAATAAATTAAATGTTAATAAAAAAAAATTTTAAGTCCGTATTCATCACTTAGGTATATCTCATCTTAATAATAATATAAATATATAAGTGGCAAATTCTGTTTATTTGTCCGTTGGTCTAAAACCCCTCTAATTCGGGCCACACTTGCTCGGCATAAATATAAACCATTTTGGAGTTAGCATGATCCCAGGATTGAAAATCTCCCCTACATCTGATGTTTGAAGATCCAACATTGGGATTTGTGTCGGATGAGGAGCAACAGTTAAAAATTCAAAGTTTAAAATAACTGAAAATATTAGTCATTTTATAAGTTTTTAATTTTTATTGAGTTTAAAATAGCACAAAAAACATTGAGGAAAGCAATCTTATTTCTTCAAAATGCCAAGGAATTAGAGTTAGAATGAGAGATTTTGAAGTTACGTAGAGTTTGCGATTTGAAGAACTGAACTCATTTGAAGTTTCACGGAGTTTGTGATTTAAAGAACTCAATTTACGGCATGAATTGGAATTTCGGACCAAATTTGAGTTTCGGCCCAAATCGGTCTTTTGGCCGGAATTAAAATTATGGCCGATCAGAGTTAGTTTAGTGGCCGGAAGCCCAATTAGCCATCTTAAAAGCATAAAAGTTCAACCTGAGTGCAGCTTTTAAGCTAGTTTGCAATAAAAAGTGGTTCTTATTATGCCTGAAACTTTTTTAATCAACAAAATATATTATAATAATATGTCCATTATAATTTAAATCTCTCTAATTTGTGTAGCGATATCAATGTTTGGTTTGGTTTGGTTTGGTTTGGTCTGTAGTGTTTTACGGCATATCAACTTCAATGGATTATTTAATGACGACAACATTTTTTCCTGATAATATTTTGTTTTGTCTAAAATCTACTTCTGGTAATATTTTTTTTCTTGAAAAATGTGTAGCTGGTTATATTATTTTAAAACATTTATCGCTGGTTATATTATTTCAAAACATTTATCGCTGGTAATATTTTTTTTTCAAAAAAATATTTCTGGTAATAGTTTTTTTTTTTCTTCAAAAATGTATTTCTGGTAATAACTTTTTACAAAGTATTTCTGGTTTTAAAACCTATTTCTATACTTTTATAATGCTTTTTAACTCAGTTTCGGGGTTAACTTATTTGCCCATAGCTGGGACCCTAACAGGTGCTACCACCCCGGGTCAGGGTGGACCTGGGAACACCGGCAATTAAGAGGTGGTTCCACGCTCCGCAAAACCTCCTAATCAGAGGCCTTGCAGTTGGATGTAGTCTATCGTCTTACCCACGACGCGGATGTAGTTTATCGTCATACCCAGGACGGGATACCAATGTTAGTCGATATCTTGTTAAATGGAAACATCTGCGCTGTCACAAAAATTGTCTCTGCAATGTATTTTCCCTGATGATTATCAGCTAAGAGAAACGGGAATATTTGTGTTATTAAATCCTTCTTTTCTAGCCTTGACAGAGATCAAAATGGCAGTTTTCGTGCTCTTGTTATGGATGACTTATTTTCCACGATAGTTGCAAGTCTGTTGCTACTCTATCGCTATTTCTATGGCAAATGTTCGGAAGAGCTTCATTCTCTAGTTACACAAGTTCAGACATGTACATCTAGAACGCAACATGCTACTTCCACCGAGTTGAATCACCCTCATTTCCTCTATATTCCAAATGTAAAAGAGCTTTTTTTCCCAGGAGCTGCTACTTTTTGGGACGGACTTTCCCTATCCTGAACACATTAATCTTCGTATTATCCTCATGATCTTTATTCTACTTATACCCCTCTTTAATTTGTGTAGCGCGCCTCATTTGTCATTAGCATTTTAATACTTACCCTCTACCATGACCTCCAGAGCTTTATATAGAATGAAGTTCTGTATTAACAAAAAGATAACTTACTGATTTTTGAAACCCGAAGGTAATAATGTCTTATTATAGAGAAAGTTCCAGCAAGTCTTGACAATATTTGAGAATTCCTGTTTTTAAGGATTTCGCTGTATAGTTTTGATTCTTTTTCGGTTCTCAATATTTTTCCAAAAATTTAGAATGGTTTTCAAGTACAACTCAACGTGGAACAAGTAATGATGGATCCAAGGTTCCAACTTTCTTTTTCCCCATAAGATGAAGTAATTGTTTTTCTCAACTTTTAACATTCTTTTATTTATAGTCTTCTGTAAAAATATCATCAATTCTCTGACAATTTATCTTCTTTTTTAAGACGACTTTTCTCATGAGTTAGCTGGAAACAACTTCTGCCTGAATTTTTAGAATGAGCAGTTAGTAAAATTAACATCATTTACAGTCGGACTAATGTTGCTATTATCACAGTATTTCGACCGTTATTCCCCCGGCTTCTTCAGATGTCTAACGATCACATGCCTATAGAACAAAGAGCTTTGATTCCTCAATATGGAGAAAGCCTGATTGTGCTTTCAGTCCATACGCTGGAAATCACAGACACAAACTCTGTGGAAATAAGACTAACAATAACTAATTAGTACTAAAAAAAGTACAAAATAAAATATATTTAGACATGGACAGTGGAACGAGAATCATCGCTTCCAGGAGATTAAATAAAGGATCCAATTCGAAATTCCTTGAAGGTTACCCGGATCGACAGAGACCTGAAGAAGGTCGGAGTGTACGCCAGCCGAAATGTTGTCATAATAAAAACGAAGAGGAGGATATTAGTCCAGCTGTGAATAATGCAAGATACGGTATAAATACGCCCTACATTTTAAACTGTCACCTATGTAATGCAAGTGAGGGGTACCTCGAGGCGGTGTAATGGTTAGTAAGCTTGTCTCGCTAGAACAATTACCACTGAGTCGTGAGTTCGAATCTCACTGGGTTCCCCCTACTTTCGGCCCTGTGCCACATCTGAGCTACGCTTGGAAAATCACTATGTAATGCAAGCGAACTGTGGCAAATTAAAATGCTGTCTTCATCTAGCTAATTTTTTTTTTTTTCATATCCCATCAGCTATCATCATGGATTGGACAGGTGTACACTGCATTTGCTGTTGTTGTTTTTTTGTTTTTTTTTTATTTTTTAAGACTGGTGACCTTCCTGGGTGTGACGATAAACTACATCCGGCAACAAGGCGTCTAATCGGAAGGTTTTAAAACCACCTGTTAATTGCCGTTGTACACCCTGACCCGGGGTGGTAGCACCTGTTAGGGTCCCAGCTATGGGAAAATAGTTAACCCTCAAACTGGGGTCAAAACATTATGAAAGTTTAAAAATAGATTTTAACAGTAAAAAAAAAAAAAAAAATAGTTAACCCTCAAACTGGGGTCAAAACATTATGAAAGTTTAAAAATAGATTTTAACAGTAAAAAAAAAAAAAAAAATACCAGCAATACATTTTTGAAAAAAAAAAAAAGAAAGAAAAATTTCCAGCAATACATTCGACAAAATCCTTTTCACAAAAATATATCAATGAAACCTGATCTACAAACAGATTTCTTACAAAGAATACATATTCTATTCATACGAACCCAATCTAAAAATTTTGTCGGCATTAGATAACCCATTGGGGTGCTGATATGTTGTAAAACAAAATAAACCAACCACTAAAACTTGTGAATCTGTAATTGCAACACTGAGATCTTTTCGTGTTCATCTCTTCTTACGGCAGAATTGCAGAATTCTGCCGCAAGAATTTGTCGTTTGAGCTGTTTCATTATTTTGGCGTAATTTCAGGATCGAAAATCGATTCTGTTGTGGGTTGAAAAGTTCAGGGCCACAGGTTCAGCGATTAAAAACCCACAAATCTCAAGGAACTCGAATTTTCCAGGTGATGGAGAACTTTAGAAATCGTCTAGAAAGATTATGGTGAATAGAGGCCATCATTTCAAGGATGTCATTTGTAAAATCACATGAATAAAAACTAGAGACGTTTATTTCAAGAATGGTGGAATATTTTTTTTTTTTTTAATAGCAGTTACCTTTGTTATTTTTTTCAGTCTTTAAAATATGGGATGTATTTCTTCTGCACTGTGTATAAATAATTATCGGTTTCAAATTATCATTCTTTTTAAACATTTTATTTTGGTTTCTTATTCTTTTAATTTCATTCATTCATTCATTCATTAATTCACTCACTCACTCATTCATTCATTCTATCGCATATCATTCTTTTCTTTATCCTATGTTTTTTATTTCTTCATCACTCGTTCACTCATTCACTAATTCATTCATTCAGTCAGTCAGTCACGCACTCATTCATTCATAGGGTCATATATTCATTCTTTCATTCATTCACTCGTTTATTCACTCACTCATCCATTCATTCACACATTTATTCACTCATACATTAATTCACTCATTCATTCACTGATTCATTCATTCATTCACGCACTCATTCATTCATTGACTCATTCATTCATTCATTCATTCACTCATTCATTCATTCATTCACTCACTCATTCATTCATTCACTCATTAATTCACTCATTCATTCATTCACTTATTCATTCACTCATTCATTCATTTATTCACTCATTCATTCATTCACTCACTCATTCATTCATTCTCTCACTCATTCATTTATTCACTCGATCATTCATTCACTCATTCATTCATTCACTCACTCATTCATTCATTCATTCACTCATTCATTTCTTCTATCGCATATTCTTCTTTCTTTTCTTTATCCTTTGTTTTTGTTTCTTCTTCACTCATTCACTCATTCATTCATTCACTAATTCACTCATTCATTCACTGAATCATTCAATCACTCATTCATTCACTCATTCATTCTCTCACTCATTCATTTATTCACTCATTCATTCATTCACTCATTCATTCATTCATTCACTTATTCATTCACTCATTTATTCATTCACGCACTCATTCATTCATTGACTCATTCACTCATTCATTCATTCACTCGTTTATTCACTCACTCATCCATTCATTCACTCATTTATTCACTCATACATTAATTCACTCATTCATTCACTGATTCATTCATTCATTCACTCATTCATTCACGCACTCATTCATTCATTGACTCATTCACTCATTCATTCATTCATTCACTCACTCATTCATTCATTCACTCATTAATTCACTCATTCATTCATTCACTCATTAATTCACTCATTCATTCATTCACTTATTCATTCACTCATTCACTCATTCATTTATTCACTCATTCATTCATTCACTCACTCACTTATTCATTCATTCTCTCACTCATTCATTTATTCACTCGATCATTCATTCACTCATTCATTCACTCACTCATTCATTCATTCACTCATTCATTCATTCATTCACTCATTCATTTCTTCTATCGCATATTCTTCTTTCTTTTCCTTATCCTTTGTTTTTTGTTTCTTCTTCACTCATTCACTCATTCATTCATTCACTAATTCACTCATTCATTCACTGAATCATTCAATCACTCATTCATTCACTCACTCATTCATTCTCTCACTCATTCATTTATTCACTCATTCATTCATTCACTCATTCATTCACTTATTCATTCACTCATTTATTCATTCACGCACTCATTCATTCATTCACTCACTCAGTTATTCATTCATTCACTCATTCATTCATTCTCTTACTCATTCATTCATTCACTCATTCATTCATTCACTCATTCATTTCTTTTATCGCATATCCATTTTTTTCCTTTATCCTTTGTTTTTTGTTTCTTCTTTCCTGTTTTCTAATTTTAATTATCTTCATCCATCCATTTTCTTTCTACCATTTCTTTGTTTCTTTTTTCATAGTAGGTAATTTCATTCTCTTTCTCAATTTATTTACCTTGCCACGTTTTTCACTTTTTTCCTTTCTTTCCTTCTACATACTTTTTTGTTTTCTTTATTTCATTCGTCATATTTTCTTTCTTTCCTTCTTTTTTTTTCATTCACTGTTTTCTTTCATTGTCTATTCTTTCAATTTTTATTTCTTACTTTAATTTATCTGATTTGTATCTGCCTTTATTTCCTTAGATTTCTGGCATTTTATTCTTTCTTTTGCAATTTTACTTTCGCTCAATTTTCTATTTTTCGTCTTTTTTTTTTTTCGTTTACTCAATATTTTCATTCACACTCTGTTCTTCCTTTCGCTATATATTTCATTCTTTCTTTCTTTCACCCTCTATTATCTATTTCTTGCTTTTGTTCCTTTACTTGTTTTGCATCTTCTTTACTTTCAATAATCTTATATTTTATTCTTTCATATTTTATCTTTCTTTCTTTCTCTCTTTCACTCACTATTTTTATTTTGCTCTCTATTCTTTCAATCTTTCGTTTGCATCGCCCATTCCTTAAATTTCTCCCATTTTATACTTTCATTCGTTCTTTCTTCATTTATTTTTTCTTTCTTTCGTTCTTCAAATCCTCTCGTTTAAGCTGTCATCCGAGCTGTTGTTTGAGCTGTGTCATTATATCTTCATTGTTTTATCTTTACAAAAGTCAGATCAAAGCAAAAATGGACCAATGCTGTCATATCTGGACTGGAGACGCCCAATGCTCGCTTTCCAGTCATGACAACGTTCAAAAACGTTTTTTTGTGCCCTTGTTAGAAATTACTTATTTTCAACATTACAGCGCCTTTCTGACAGACAGAACCTCGCAAATCTTATCGTTATGCCTATGCCAATTGTTCCGACAAGCTACCTTCTTTAGTACAACCAACTCAGACATTTACAGCCAAGATCCAACTTGCTACATCCACATGCTTGAATCACCCGCATTCTCTACCTAATCCTTTGGTAAGGATAGCATTCTATTCATAAATATTATCAGCAAGTTTCGCTACTTTGGAGACGAGATTTCCCCATTTATGCTTCCCCGAAGCCTAAATTATGATTCTCTTCAAGTCGATGACAATCCTTATCTGCCACATCTGGTAATCTTTACTTCATACTTCTGCTTATCACATATCTCATTCAGTAACATTCTACCTTGAGTGGCTCTTAGGTCTTGTATCGAGTGAGCTTTAGTAGAAAAATAATGATATTTACTAAGTTTAGTTTCGATAGCATAACGCCAGACTGGGAAATAAAATCTGGTAAGAATTTTCCAAAATTTTGGTATCCCTGCCTGGAAAATCAACATTCGAAATTCATATTTGCTTTAGTTTGGTTAGAACAACGACTAGTATGCCTGGATCACGAAGCGAACCTTTGTCGCTTCCAAAGATTATTAATATTGTTATTATTACTATTATTATTATTGAAATTGAAGTAGAAATATATAAAAATCTAAAAGTAACACGTTAACGAAAAAGACAATGCGAGCCAATCTTGAGTGAAGATAATCATCAATTTTTTTCTTAATTAGAGGTGGAAATCTTGGTTACACATTACTTCTGAAAGAAGACGTAGGTTATTCTATTCGGAAACAAACAAAAAAGAACATTATTTTCCTCGTTAACGTTATGCGATTATCTGCTGTTGGGCCAGCTTATTGCGCCAATTGTGATTGGATGAACGGGTAAGCTAATTAGTTAAAAGCGATAAGATTTCTTTCTACATGTGGAAACGAAAACGTAAAAAGAGAAAAAAGAAAAGACGGAAATGTAAAATACTACGAAAAAGGAAGTAAGAGGAGAGAGATAAAATGTTTCAATAAAGAAAGAAAGAAAGAAAAAAAGAAAGAAAGAAAGAAAGAAAGAAAGAAAGAAAGAAAATCAAAATATGGAGACTAAATAAAGAAATATACTGCGATTTAAAAACAAAGAAAGAATAGAATTCTAGAAAGAAAAACTGCGAATTGGCATGATAGAAAGAGTAAAAGATGATTACGAAAGAAAAGAAGAAGACAAATAAAAATAAAGCGAATAAGTAAAAGACTGAATAGATTACTGGAAAAAAGAAACAGGAAGGAAAACAGATGAATACTGGAAAGATATTTAAGGAAAGATCCTTAAAATGAAAGAATTATGTAAAAGGAAATGAAGAAAGGAATGTATCACGAATAAGCGAGAAAAAATGAAGGATATTAAGAATAAAGATATTATTGCGAATAAAGAAACCCAGAAAATGTTGGTATTTAAAACGAAAGAAAAAAAAAGAAAATGAAAAAAAAAAACATCCGAAATGAATAAGGTATAGAATAAATATACTTAAAACGAAAGAAAGAAAGAAAAGTAAATTACCCTTGCTAATATGACAGAAGAAACGGCGAAATTGACTGAAAACAGACTTGGGAAAATAAGGTAACCATTTAAAGAGAGGAGGTGCGGTAGAAGTGAGTTGAGAGAAAAAAATATTCACCGACTCAAAAGAAAAACGAAACCAATAGAAACAAATCAAACAGTGCAAAGCAGGGAATAATAATGCAGACAGAAAAAGGAAAATATTCCTCAAGAGAATAAGCAAGAAATAACATATTAATAAAAGATTTTATTAAGAAAAAATGAACAAAACATCAAAATGAGATAAGAAAGAACACATCAGTAAAAAAAAAAAAAAAAAAAAAACAAAAGGGAATGAACTAATAAATAATTGAAAAAAGAACTCAAGGGAGTATTTCTCAAGATAAGGCAAAATTAATAAAATATGAAGAAACATTTTAAAATAGAAGAAAAAAAGATAAAGAAAGAAGTCAATGAAAGAAAAATTAAAACAAGGACTATTTAAAAATAAACCAAAACGAAGAAAAAAAGGACGAGACGAAAAGGAAGCAATAAAGAGAAAAGTTTTAAAATAGACCAAAAAATAAGAATAAAAAGATTAAAATAAAAAAAAATAAATAAAAGAGAAATATTTTTAAACATAATTCAAAACAGAAAAGGAAAGAAGACACTGAATGGGTAAACAAAAATAGATTTTTTTTTTAGATATACCAAGACGGAAAAAGAAGAGACTATATGAAAAAAGAGACAGTAAATATTTTAATAAGCGAAAACTTCTTCTTCTTCTTCTTCTTCTTCTTCTTCTTCTTCTTCTTCTTCTTCTTCTTCTTCTTCTTCTTCTTCTTCTTCTTCTTTGATTTTCTAGCTTCTTATTTTATCTGAATTATCAGACGCCTTTTTCTCTTCGTCTTTTAATAAAAACTTTCTTCTTCTTTTAATTTTCTAATTTTATCTGAATTTCTTCTTTTTCTTTCATTCTTCTTCTTCTTCATTCTCCTTTCTTCTTTTCTTCTTCTTCTTTGATTTTCTAGCTTCTTATTTTATCTGAATTATCAGACGCCTTTTTCTCTTCGTCTTTTAATAAGCGAAAACTTCTTCTTCTTCATTCTCCTCCTTCTTCTTTTTCTTCTTCTCCTTCATTGATTTTCTAGCTTCTTATTTTATCTGAATTATCAGACGCCTTTTTCTCTTCGTTTTTTAATAAGCGAAAACTTCTTCTTCTTCATTCTCCTCCTTCTTCTTTTTCTTCTTCTCCTTCATTGATTTTCTAGTTTCTTATTTTATCTGAATTATCAGACACCTTTTTCTCTTCGTCTTTTAATAAGCGAGAACTTCTTCTTCATTCTCCTTCTTCTTCTTTTTTCTTCTTCTCCTTCTTTGATTTTCTCGCTTCTTATTTTATCTGAATTATCAGACGACTTTTTCTCTTCGTCTTTTAATAAGCTAAAACTTCTTCTTGTCGACGTTTTTGTTGTTATTATTATTATTTGCCGTCTCTCTTCATGATGTTGGCGATCATGCCTTTTCACTATTTCCTCTCCCTTGTACCCCAAAGAGTCAAGATGAAACACTGGACAAAGAAATATCAGAGACTCTTCGTTTGAATTGTGTTCTTATCATTCGTGACGATCCATTTCTGAAGCTCATAATGACATAAACACTTCTACTTCTTCCTCTGTTTCCCGTGACCTTTCAGGACGTAGGTGATCGTGGCTCTCTGCGATTTCCTGCTTTTATAGGTCTTCATAAATTTTCGCCATCTCTCCTAAAACCTTCCTTCGCCACCCATTCATTCAAGCTAACCAGATAGGTTTTGCATTGCCTTCCACTGTGTCTCTTACATTCAATCTATGCTGTGGGTACCAAATTTTCCAAGTCCTCTTTATGTACCCTAGAAATTTTAACTGTCTCTTTCTGATAAGTGTAAGTGCCCTTTTTGTTGTCATTGTATCTAGAAATTCGTCGTTGGTCACATGTTCGGTCTATGATATTCTCAGCATCCTTCTGTAGAACCACATTTCTGTTGCTTCAAGTTTCTTCTTCATCTGTGAAGAGATTGTCCAGCATTCACTGCCATATAAGGAGACTGACATTACGTAACGGTTCAGTTCTCTTTTTGTTGCTGCTAACGATATTTTTTCCTGTTTCTTAATACTTTGCTCAGATTCTGGAAGGCATCTTTCGCTATCCCAATGCGCCTTTGGATTTCCATGTCGCACTTTCCGTTCTCTGTTAAAATGCTGCCCAGATATTTTCCTTGTCGGACCGGTCTCATTTCAGTATCTCCAATCTGTAATTTGCATGTTAAACATATATGGCCTGGATCGATCCAGATCTCTCTATCCGGCCCCGACAGGGTTCAGTAGCCTTGTGGGTGATGAATTTTTTCTAACCTAAACTCCCTTTTCCACAGACGAAACGTTACCAGCTTTCTCAATAATCTAACGCTATTTCTCTGACGGATGTTCGGACAATCCACTAGTCCAGACCATCCCAGTTGGAACTCGTAAGCCCACATACACTGAATCGATTCTTTCCTTCGTATACCATTAGTAATGAAGAAGTTCCACTCAGACAGAATCTTCCCCAGAACTGTTGCATTGTAGGACGCGGTCGCAAGAGAATGCTTCCCCGATATGTATTCATTTCTATGTTGAACCGTTATCTATTCCTACATATCTTCTTAATATGTACATCTTGCCCTCTCCTTATAAGTTCATGTAACAACCCTCTACCTTCAGTGGCTCTTGAGCCTTTTTATTATTTGAAAAATATTAAAAAAATCTATGTGCTACTAAAACATGACGTAACTGAGTACCGAGGAAAGATCACGATACGGATAAGAAAGCAGAATCGCAGGAGCAAATTGACGCAATCATCACTTCATAGGTATCCCCTAACAGCCACAATATGCATCTGAAGATGGCCAGATCGTACTCGCCTGAAACGTTGAGAATATAACAACATTTGACTCTAGTTCATGAAGGATGTATACACGTTTTTGACATCCGTTGCAAGTGAGCAATAAACAAAACTATAAAACAACAGTCTATTCGTTATTTTCAAATAAAATCCACACGAAAGAAACAAGAGAATAAAAATGCTCCATTTAATTTAATTAAAAAGAGGGGTAGATATTTATTACGTGTAGTCAAGTCTGACACAAGGCTACAAGTATATTTTTCTTTCATTTTTTCTCTACCTTTTTATCCGCCTTTGTAACTCTAGTGTAAACCGGATCTATATCTAACACTTAAGTTAAACAACGTCGAGTCTGGTCATGACCGAGGTGGGTGACCGCTTAGGAATACCAGTTGCTCTAAAATTGCATGTGCGGGTGGTGTAATGAATAATGACTCAGAATTTTGAATCGAAGAGCCGAGTTCCAATTCGAGTTGGGTGGGTTATATTCAAACTCGCGCAAATGCCCTTGGAAAAGTTGTGAATTTACCTCTTCTCTCCCTATATATGGGTTAATTAGTAGGACATGTATCGCTAAATTATTATTATCTATAAACATTCTTAAATCTATAAATCTATTTTCTTGCTTTAAATAACCTGCAATGGGTTGATAATCTGTAAAAGAAAAAACGAATCAATCAATCAAAAACAATCTTGTTTAATCTAATGGAAACCGGAATAAAAAAAATGTAGGCATACCTTCAAAAGCAATCAACACGGAATGGTTCATTATTTATCTGTGGTGATGCCAGGGATTGACGCGTGTGTGAAGAAAGAACAAGCAGAGTTAATAGATAGTTTATTTTGGTTTGATCCCAAAGAAAGTGTTGAAACTTGACTAATGCATGGAATAATAATGCAACACAAAAGGTACTTAGAACAAAATGTATTGAAACAAGAAAGTGTACACAATATTTACATATAGTCTTTTGTATATTCCTGGGAAGACCGTTCCTGGAGAATGTGTTGACTGAGTCGCAGTCGGGCAGAGTCTCTGGTTGAATCTCTTGATTCCTGTATTTATCTATCCACCCACGAGGATAAAATGTGGCACACGGCCGGTTTAAAGTGGGTATCTCCGAGCCCGTAGGCTCGGCCAAAAATATGGCCTTTCTGAACCCGCCTAGACGGGTTCAAGGCCTGTCTACCACCCCGGACGAAACCCTGCCTCTCGGCAAAGCCTCGTCCGGGTCCCTCACTGCAAAATGCAGAGAGTTCGACTGAGAGTGAATCTCTTGATTCCTCCCTCTCTTCCTGGTACCAACTATATTTATATGGTCGGTACTCCACTATGCAAATTAGGTGGATCCTACCACAACAGAAAGTATCGATATTTTCGGCGTTTTTTTTTTTAGTTGATCTTCATTGAATTCATCATATTTTATAATAATTCTTCTTCTATGTTCCTTGTCCCTTCAGGACGTTAGCCATCAGAGCTCTCCAAATTTTGTGTCCTTTATAGCTTTTGCTATCTCTCCCAAACATTCACTCAAGCTTCTAAGGTAGTTTATTCGTAGTTTATCACTGTCAGTTTAACCATCATTCTGGCCAGTGAAATTCAGATTTTCCAAGCTTTCTTTTCTCATTATGTGCCATAGGAGTTCCATCTGTCTCTTGCTGATGTTAAATATAATTCGTTTCAATTGTTACTTACAATATTTACATCATTCGTACTGTTATCCTTATCTTAAATGCCATATTAATAACGTTTCGGTCGTTGTACGCTCCGGCCTTCTTCAGGTGATCGGAATTTCGAACCGAGCCCTTTATTTCGTCCACCGGGATAGATTCTTCTAGTTCTTCCGGACACATGGCCCAGTGAATAAAGACGTTGGTTAGATCCAGTGACTACACCCAAAGAGGTGTGAGTTCAATACCAAGCCACAACAGTAGTGAAATAAACTTGGAGAGTTGAGTTAAAGGTAAATAACGGAAACATCCGGAAAAGGCATGGAACGTGGAACTAGAAGAATCTACCCCGGTGGACGAAATAAAGGGCTCGGTTCGAAATTTCGATCACCTGAAGAAGACCGGAGCGTACAACGACCGAAACGTTGTGAATGTAGCATTGAAGATGAGGATAACAGTCAGAATAATGTAAATAATTATAATACCTCATCTCAGAGATATAGGCAGATGTTTCAATTGTCTCTAGAACTTCCTCGTTGCTCATATTGTCAGTCCGTGGCATTTTTATCATCCTTCTGTAGAACTAGATTACTGTTGCCTTAAGTCGCTTCTTTATTCACTGCCATATTGGAAGACGGATGTACATGCAATTCATTTCTCTTTTCTCTTTTTAAAAAGGGAAATTTTCTTGTTTCTTAAACCATTGCTTAGCTTTTGCAAAACATACAATATAATAAAAGTCATCACAAAACTGGTTATTACTATATCTCTAAGCTGATTTAGAAATAGTACTAAATGCTAGTTAGTTTATAACACAACACAGGGACCATTATTTGACGCTGTCGTGAAAAGGTATACATTTCTGTTATTTCAAGTCTATTTTCCATCTGTGTGATTGCGATTAGGTGACTTAATTATTACTCTTCTTTCTAGAAGTTAGTTTAGTAAGAGACAAGGAACACTTAGGCTCAATCAACGAATATCGAACTTAGAGGCTAGTTTGTTGAATATGGAAATTCGGACATTTTAGACTAGGTAACATCTGCGAAATGCGTTTATTAAACAAGCAGAAGTATGGAAAGAAAAGAAAGAAAAGTTCTTTCTACAACTCCTAAACTAAAACATCATTCTTATCTTCGTTACCATTTATCATTTCGAAGCGTCTATTGTGTATGCTTTTCTGCTTTAATTCGCATTCGGTTCGTTTTTGCTTTTACTTTATTAGAGTTAATAATTTAACTTTGCGAACACAGCAGGGAAGCAACCTAACAGTTGAGATGTGTCTTCATCTCTTGGTGACGACACCCTTTCAAGTAAGCTCTCCACGGACCCGCGTAACGTCATCTAAGCAGACCATATACCCTGTAAATTTAATGTCGTCTCTGTCAATGTTTACGGCTCTTATACAGCTCTTCCTTGCAATTTTATTTATTTATCTTTTTAATCAAAGACGGGATCTCTTTCTGGGGCTCACTTAGAGTGGTATTTTAATGCTTGAAACTAATATGGCTTCGTGACTGTGTTATGCATACAGCGAACAACAGAACGCGGTAAGTGATTTTTTTTTTTTTTTTTTTTTTGCTTCGGTGCTACGACAGGCAGTAGTTACTTCAGCATTTTTGTTGCAGTCGTCTGTGTGTTTTCAACATGCGAAAGACAACCAAACCTAGTTTCGGTCCTACTTTCTGCACTTCCTTTCACATTTGCTTTGTCACGCATGCGCATTCGATGCCTGATTCGTGTAAATTAGACTCGAGTGCGCATGTCGTTTTCGAACTGAGTCAATTATAAACTAGACACGAATTTAAGTACACGAAAACACGCCCTGCGGTGCCAGACA